CACAAAGTGGGAAGCACGATGGCATAGCCGCCCCAATCAGGTCTACCGTTCCATGGTCAAATGATGAAATATCGGCGCATATCACAAAGTTGGACCATGGATAGACGGAGACACCGCAGAAATGGAATCTGCCGGCACTTCTCCCTACACACAGGCTTTCTGTATATCGTCATAGCTTGTCGAGTATGAAGGGTTTGGAATTGGTTCAACTACCACTCGTCGAGATTTTCAAAACGGTACTTGAGTTCGTCTGATATTGCCCTGTGCTAGGAAATTGCGAAGGGTGGGCGCTTTTTTCGATCATCCTGTCGGAGTGGGCCAGGATAAGACTTCATGCGGCGGATGATGTTGAGCACATAGCTGCATTGTGACCCTAGATAAGGTATGTGCCATTCAGTGGCCTCTGAGTTAGTAACATAGCGTTCATGATCAGCTCGACAATGAAGAAGATTACCCAAACCCTCTATTGTGCATCTACTATAGAGACCTATTAGGCATCAGACGCGAGATGACTGGTGTCCCAAACGCGACACCAGTCTTTACATGGCACGAGTTATTCAACTCCCACAGAGCGTTCTCCACTGGTTCGAAGGACTGTGCGGACTACGTGATAAACCGGTAATATGCCCATCGTAAACACCAATCCGCAGAGCCAAAATTGACTGCGACAGCTCACACCCACTGCTGGAGTATCGAGGGCCCATCCAAGTGCCGCACCCAGTGACTGAGCAGCCTTATAAAAGCCCGTATACTTCGCAGAGACATTGGCATTACCTGAAGCAAGGACACCTAGTAACCAGTAGCAATATGCTTGTAGTATAGACTCTAGGAAACCATAGGCGACCAAGAGTGATATGATACTCAGTGAGCCTCCAGGGTTTGATATGACGTCCAGTACTGCACCACGACGGATGAAGCGCAATGAAAACTCCTCCACGATCGCTCCATAGGAGTAGACGCAAATACCACCGATGATGAGTCCCAAGAGAGCTAGCTTAGCTCTGGCCCGCACGCATAAATCGGTTCGATCTAGAAACCTGCCAACGACCACCGCGCCGAGCATCTGTGATACCCAATATAAAGCTGAGTTAAAGCCGCGGGAGCGAGCGGTGAACGACGAGGCGTTCACACAATTAAAGACGTATGGATAGTAGAAATTCGTGCCCAAGAATAAGGGCATCAAGAGGACCATAGCGCCTTCCTTCACCACTGTTACTGTGTCTCGTAATTCCTTCCCCACCGGCTTGGCAGGGTACACTGTGACGGGTACGCCGTCAGAGCGCATGACTCTATCTGGGGGAGCAATCATGAACCATCCAATGGCCGAACCAGAGACCATAACACAGACGAAAACAAGATAGGTCCAACCGTTGGAGGCAGTAGCCTCTTCTCCATCGTAGTTGATTATGAATTGCAGTACGCCGCCGAGGAAACCCCCCAGGTTGAAGATAAGCCAAAACTCCCCTATGAATCGACCCCGCTCCTCTGGCGCGGCATACGCTACCATCACAGCCCCCTGTGCAGTCCACAGAGAGGCCGCGCCGATCCCAAGCAAT